TATGTTTTTATTTTCCTCACACCCTGTCGTCTTCCATTCAACTGGATAGCTACAGACTGAGTATAACTGTCCGAGACGCGCACTTTGCAAGTATGAGGGGGAATTATCTTCGAATCTTCAGCACTTTGGGACCTTTTGTCTCATACACACAAACACCATCCCTGTAGTAATTGCGACTCTGTACCTCTTTAAACGTTTCTCTCACGCCCACCTTTACTTGAAAGAGTTACTCAACTTATCCATTAAAACACCCCGACATACAGTACAGTAAAACCACCTTGACAGCCTCATGACACAATTATCGGACTAAAGGGCGAGCTTTATCTCACTTTTGTTGATTTACACATACCACGGGCAGATAACGACTATATATACGTAATTCTATAAATAAAACGTTTGAGGCAAATCATGCCTACTCAACATATGTGACACAGGGAGTACACATCGACACAAAGCGTATCAACTTTACGCTCTGTCAAATGTCTAGCATGCTTGGTAATCCCCTTCAGAATGTTTTACTTTAATGTCAAATGTTACTATTTTGTATCATATTTGGAGCTTTGTACAGAGATTTGGGACCTAGATGACGTCACTGGACTAAAAAAAATCCTGTCACTAGCTGCCCTTGTTAAAGTCCCCCGGAGCCTGTCACGTCTGCCGGCCTGTGGCAGTCGTGTGGTGAGCAAAGAAGTGATTTTAACAGGTAAGTTCACGGCGACGCGAACGTGTGTGTATGTTTGACGGCTGCCTTGACACTGGAATGTTCAGCTCGATAGCAGAGCATTCTCGTGTGTGACTAGGCCTGTTTATCAATAGGGGATGACTGTGCGCTCTTGAAGGGTGGTGAAATAAAGACATTCCTATATTTTTGATCCAACGGGGGGAAACCGCACGGGCGGAACCATTGTGGCGAGCCGTCCACCTGTTAGAGTACCCCTCATCTCATGACGTAACCTACAGACTGACTTAGGGCAACACAAGGCTCGTATATTGTACTTGAACATTGAAGGGGTGTAGAAAAGAGAACAAATAAAGCACAGCGGTAGAAGTGTACGAAGCTCAGCGCCTACCCTGTCTGGCTGTTCGGTGTCTTTCCCCTCTGTGTCACCAGCCGCGGCACCAGAAGTCACCACAGCCCATATCAACACCAGCGGAGGCACCACGACAAATCTCAACTTCATTGCTGAGATACTAATATTACTGTCGATTCCCGGAATCCAACAAAA